GTCTCTGAGACCACATCTGCTGACCTTCATGCACTGTAAGAAATGTGGGATTTGAGACAAAGGCAATCTTGAATGCAAGCTTTCGTACTACCACGTGTGTGCAGACTCGCTATGCGCTTCAGTGACTGGTTTTGTTGAGGTCTTTCCTTGAGGCTATGCTGCTATGTGTCTGGGAGCCTGAAAAAATAACCCGACAAACAATTCCTTGGAACACATCCAGAAAGATTTTTGCGGCAGAAGGAGTGGCAGATTGATGCGTGGCAGTTTTGCATCTTTGATCCTTGTCTTAAGGATAAGGCTGCAGGAGAAGGGATGGTGGCCTGGGCATAGACTGGGAGAGCTGTTGTGCCTGACTGCATTAAAATGGAGATGACAGCAATTTAAAAACACAAGCTATTCCTGCAGAGGTGAGTTAGTGTAAGTCACTGAATGCAGTCTTTACATGACGTAAGGAACTAGTCAAAGCTGTAGTTACAGTATTAGATATTTTTCCTTTTTCTGTAGTGTTACTTAAAATCTGCTTGTTCTTTCCCCAAATAGACCTCCAGGTGGTGAAAAAAACAGGAAATCTTTGGAAAATACTGGCACACCAACTATTGGGCAGACTGACACATACCTTGTAAATCTGTTTCTCTCTGTAGCACTATCCTTTAGCAGATTTCTTTAGCAGAAGCACTTAAATTCTGCAGCTTCTTCTGACATACAGAGGGCTTAAATCAGAATTAAACCCCACTGAAGAAGTCAGTGGTATTACACTCATGCAAAAGCTGGTGTGAGATAAGTTGGGAATCCTTTGTGATTTTTATTGCATTAGGTATAGATGCTGGCTGATTTGAGAGAACTAAAACACTTCTGTGTCAGGATGGATGTATTTCTGTCAGAAGGAAGCTATCGCTCAAAACCAAGCTGGGCCATGCTCATGATTAAAAAAGCATGGATGCTATATGTGCAAAGCAATGTTTTTGCATCTATGCGTACTAGATGGAGCATAATACGATTTTTAGCGTATGCGAATGCTAGGAGCCAGGCTAGAACCCCAGCATGCACACTGGTTAGCTGCTTGGCCTGGCAGGCTCCGTGCTGCTGGTAGAGCAACAAAACCAGCGTGGCATCTTGTCATAACTGGGCTTGCCTCCAGAAGCTCATTTCCAAACCCCAGCAGTTCGCTGTGAAGTTTCCAGAGGTGAGCGGTATTTGATCAGCTGTGTTTGACTGTCACAGGCACATCAGTGGTGGTGTCAAGCGTTTTGTGAGTGCATGATAAACAGTTTGAAAAAAATTCTCCCCATGGAAGGTGATGTTGCTTGACTTTCATTAAGTAGTTATCAGTGCGTTGGTTCAAAACCCAAAGCTGGCTGTTTTTTCACTTCACCTGTAGCCTTAAATCAAAAAGGGGCTTTTGAGGAACACGAGAACCAACCTTGTTCTCCACCTTCCTATTTATTTTAATACTAAAGGAAGACAAAAAAATACATGATGTCTCCAACAAATTCTGGATGATTTTGGTTATGGCTTATTACTGTTCAAAATAAATACATTTGCAATTTATCGTATACTGTATGCTGCTGGGGGTGCGGGGTGTTGAAGCCAAAGGCTGTGAAAGATGATCAAATGTTTCTCCCAGTGTGTGCTTAGGCTTAGAATTCAGCTTTTTGCCAGTTCATAAATGTCTAAAGTGTGCTGCATTTGACCGCACAGGTGAGCACTCAGTTTTTTATATAGTGGTAAACTCTCCTTGGGATTTAAAAACTCTGTATAAAGTACCGTACTTTGGTATTTAGATGCATTAAAAACATACAATTAATCACTTTTTAAACAAGATGCTAAGGTTGCCTGCTCTGCACAACCAGAATGCAAGCTGTCCATTGTTACAAAATAGTTTGACTGCATGAAGCCCCATTATTTCTAATTAAAGGTCTAAGAACATCCAGCTGATCCAGTAATTTGATTGTCTCAAACATCTCTTAATGCCGTATAACAATGAAAAAAGACCTAGATATTTCCTTCTCGAACATCATTGCTAGAGTGCCTGCAAGCATGAGTAATTTTTTTTTGTCTGACCAGTTGTGATAAGGAAGCAAATGAGACCTTATGGGTGTTTGCAGCACATCTACAGTCAGCAGAAATATTTTTTTGTACCCTGCTTTTGATTTTAGAGCTCTTTTTGCAGGAAGTATGAAGCTATATACCATCACAATTTTTATCTTATACAATGAAAAATAAATTACACTATTAATATTTTCATTTCATACTTATCTCAGAATAGATACAGAATTTTATTTAATTGAATGCAGAATTTTACAGTTAAGAGGTTTGAAAATAAAATGCTACATGGTTTCTAGTCTACAGCCTAGTATCCTGAAATCTGTTTTCTTGGGATGTATGTTGTCATTGACTGTTTTGCTCTCATCTTGCGCTGGGGATGTTATTTCTCAGGACAGTAAGGATACTTGCACATTCATAAATGCATTTTACTTAGTTTTTGTATCAGGAGGATGAAGCCTGCAGTTCTGCCTTTATGAGCGTGGAAGGTAAAGCAACAGTGTAGGACTGTCACTGTAGGAGAGAGTTCCTGCTCCCGTAGTCTAATGATAAGCTGAATATCTGTAAGAGAGTGTGTGTAGTTGAAGGGGGAAACTTAAAACACCATTTTCATGTTTTGAATATTTCCATTGCCTTTTTACTGTGATAAAAATGGTGTTTAGGTTTCCTCTAGAAATAAAAATAAACATATAGGGGTGATGTGGCAAACAAAATTTCACAGTGCAGTAGCACACGGCTAACTGCACTACAGTTTAGCTTGTGTCACTATTTCCATCACAAATCAAACTTTCAACTTTTTTAGTTTTTTAACTGTAAAAGTCTGCTTCAGTCTGAAACTTGGCAAGGTGTTTCTCACCTGAGAATTCATTTTCTTTTTCGACTGAAATGTATCCAAATTCTTAATTTCTAGGATTTTATAAGCACTTCCAGAGTCTTAGTTGCTGTAATACCAGGGAGTGCTGAGGAGATTCACTGGCAGAAGGATACAGCATGTGCGTGTGTGTGTAAAATACTGATGGTTTAATGTACAATGAGATATGTTGTACTGTCTAGTTAATTCACCCTTTGTGGTAAAGAGATTGTGACGCTTATCATAACAAGCAAGTTAGTTGCCCAGGGAGATGTAACAGAGGAAGGCACTGAGCAGGCTTTTCTACAAAACCGTGCCGGTGTATGCTAATCTTGACTTACAGTATTGTATCTGCTCCTTTGCTGAGCTCATCTTTGAGCAACTTTGGATTGTGTTACGCTGCAGTGAATCGTGTGGTGATGTTCAGATGAATGTAGAGTAGGATTAGACGGAAAACCCATTATCTGGCCAGTCCTCAGGAGGTATAAAGTGATAAGTCTCCTGCCTTTACTGGAACTACTCGCAATCTAGAGGACTGCAAGAATGATTTACGTCAGAGGTTGTTTGTTGTAGAGCTTCCAAACAAAGCAGTGGGAATGGTGTGGATTACTGTTTTCTGTGTCATTAAAAATAATCTTGGGAACTGATCCCTTCCTTGCCCCATCTATGAATTCTAGTGCCCCAATCAGTGTTTTGGGTATATAATATTTGCCTTCTGCAATTTGAAATATGTTAACCGTGACCCCTTTATTTATTTATTTGTTTGTTTAGGCCACTCAAAAATGTTGTAGTTAAAGGAGATACCTTTTTCCTGATTTTATAATTTCACTTTGATTTTGGTTCCTAGCAGTCTTGGTGTCAAATCCTGCCCAACCACTGACTTGGTGACCAGACCAGGGAGTTAACAGGGGGAGAATTTATTCACACAGCATCTTTCCTTCATCCTTGAGCTGTACTTTGCAAGAAGCGCCTCTCAGCCACCCACTCACAGCACTGTGAAGCAAAGGCTCCAACTTCTGTTTGTATTCAGTTATCTCACAAGCTTCCATTGAGCTGTTGTCCAGCAGCTTATCTAAAGTTGCTGTTTGTGTGTCAGCTTTGTCTAGTCCTTCATTCTAGCATGTATTAACTTGCCACATCAGCTCTCCAAATTGTACAAGTATGTGTTTTAGAAATCTAGACCGACTGTAGGAGGACATAAATGCCTTATGCTTTGTCCATTCTTGATGCAGGATTTCATAGCAATAGATCGCTTGGGATGAAAAGCTAATACAACTTTAAGCTGTTATTCTGTTATCAAGATACTGCTTTCATAAACTATTAAGTTATTAAAACGTTTCAAATGGTTACAGTTGAAAAGTACAGCTAGTGGATGAGGATCAGCATTTCTGTGTGATGAGATGTCATTCTCTGACTTTAATATCAATATGTAGTGAAGTTTTATAGCTTTACAATAAGTTTGAATATGAATTTTCACCCTTCTATTAAATGTGGATATTTTATCAGTATCCATTTGGTCCACTGCAGCAGTGGTAGTGTGATTGGTGTATTACAGACAGCTCCTGTTACCAGTTACTCCTTTGTCTCACAGTTCCAGAACTTGCATCACACAAATAACTTTACTTACTCAGGTATTCTTCTCTGGAGTTCTGTAGGAACGCTGGAAATGTTGCAGTCCTGCTTGTGTACTGGAAACTGATGTCACTTGTGTGTAGGAGGATGTTTTGGAAATGTATCTAGTTGAGCTGCCCAAATGCAGTGTTAGTTATAAAACCCATCTTAGAAGGACCCTGCCTGTGCTTGCTGGATTCTGTGCAAGTCCTTCATTCATCTCGTAACTTTGGGTCAGGGTCTGGCTACTGAGAACAGTCATCTTTTTTTTAAGAAAATATTTGCATATTATGTGTTGCCTTTATTATACACGTGATATTTAGGTGTCTTTCTGATCATATTACTGATGAAAGATGTGTTAACCATTAGTGTATTCAAACCACAGATTTCATGTAACTATTGATGTTCCTGTTCAGGACAATATTAGTCCTGTGACTAAAATGTCAGGTGCCTGCTATTAACCTCTAGTTCTTTCTCTCCCCTGCCCCTTTTTTAGAGGCCTTTGAGTCTTTGCTTCGCTTTGCTGAAAACCGCACAAGTTCCCTGTTTGAGACAGCTTACAGACCTATGGCAAAAGAAGCAGCAGAGCCTGTTAAAGAACTTTTTACAGACATCTCTCTCTACATTCTGGGCGCTGAGACTACAGTGGAAAGTGCAGTATTACGGTTCTTTGACAGTCTCTTTCCTCTGGTGTATAGTCGGCTAATAAACCCAGGAATTACAGATTTATCAGAGGACTATACAGAGTGTCTACGGCTTACAAGGCAAGACATAAATCCTTTTGGACGCTATTCTAAAAACATGGTTACAGAGCTGTCAAAATCTCTTTGGGCAAGTAGGATGCTCAGCCAGGCCCTCAGTCTGGGCATTGAAGTGATAAATACTACTGAACACGCAGCTCTCACGAAGGAATGTAGCAAAGCTCTAGTGAAGATGCAGTACTGCCCGCATTGCCAGGGCCTGACGCTAATCAGACCCTGTGTCGGATATTGTCTAAACGTAATGAGGGGCTGTTTGGCCAGTGTGTCAGACCTGGATGCGCAATGGAGGGAGTATATCTCCACACTGGAATATCTGACTAACGAAATGGCTGCCTCTCATGATCTGGAAATTGCACTGATGGGAATCCGGAACTCCATCAATGAAGCCATCCTGCATGCACAGTTGAATGGACCACAGCTCTCTGCTACGGTAAGTGCTCTTTAACTATTTGCTACTCCCATTTATCACTTTCATTATTTGATGTGTAAACATTTAACAAGTTGGTGTTGTCTTTGCATCTCTTTTTAGTCTTCAACTAGATCTTTGTTTAATAGTCCATGAAAACATTACAGATAATTATGATGGGGTTCAGTAGTCTGCTCTGAAATGAAAAGGTTGTGGGGAAGTTTGCTCCTTGAGAAGCAACCCTGTAAAGCAGATAGCTCTGCAGGATTTTCTAAACAAAAAAATGGGGTATATATAATTCTCAATGTCAACAATGTATTTTCATACTCTACAACATCTGATTCTGTAACTCTAGGGGCAGTGTTCCCCTGGCATGTATTTGTAGTGTGTGGGGACGTTCCACACACACATACATATATATATATATACACACACACATATATATATATGTATAAAGGGTTAGAAGAGTGGATTTCTAAATAAAGGGAAAGACATGAACTGTTTCATAATTTAACAGTCCTTTTGTGTTGACTGAGACATCAGGAAGATAGTACGGGGCTATGAGTACGTGTCATGAAAAAGTTGGAAAAAGAGCATGCAAAATCAAACTTACTTGACAGCATTTGTTGTAAGTAAAGGATAAAAATACACTTAAAGTGGATCCGTTTTTTGTAAGTGGTACGTTAAGGAGGAAAGAACTAGGATGGTAGAACTGTCTCATAATAGCAGCATATGACTGGCAGGTGTTCTCTCAAGGTGTTGAAGATTAGACCAGAAATTATTGAAATGACTAACGATGCAGCTGACTGCATCTGTATGAAGTTCAACATGACTGTCAATGGAAGAAAATTTATCAGTGTGGCCTTAAGCAGGGTAAAGACTAATCTAAAAAATGCAGACAGATCTGCCTGTCTTGAAAGTAAAGGAATTCTTGCAGAGAACAAATGAGAAGGAAATGCACTGATCTAAAACTTGTATTCCTGTGCGAACTCTGGTCACCATATTATGTATGAGAAAAAAAATACTTGAGAGTCTACAGAAAGAAGCTATAGCAGAGGGTGTTCTAAACTAAGGAAGTGTCTTATTAGGAGAGAGATGCCTGTTATGTTTGTAACTTTTCAAGATACCTAATATCACCACTCTCTTCTGACAGAGCCAGAGACTTACAGTCAGTATAATACTTAGATTATAAAAAAACCCCACCAACCACTTACAGTAATCTGATAAAATTTTCACTTGATATTTGTAGTTACCTTGGTTCACATTGCCTCAGGTTCTTCTTTACTTTTCGTCAATGACACTTGTGTCTGCTAGTTCATCTGACATCCAAGGATAAACAGGAAAAATTAAGACAAGATTTGTCCAGGTTCTTGGATAATACACAGTAGGCGTTGGAGCCCACACACATTGCAGAACAGCACGTCTTCATCGTGCTAATGTCTAGTTGGTAGCGTCATAATGTATCCTGTAAAGCGGTGTTAAACTTAGAACACCTAATGAACAGTCTTCTTGCATCTGCTCTAATTTTCACTCAGATGTTTATGTGAGTCTAGAAGAGAAATGAAAATCAAAGCACACTATTAGTATATATATTAGTTTTATCTGATTACAGATATGCTCTTAAATCATTGCATGGCTTCATTACTGATTACACAGAAGTACTTAAGAATAAAGTCAAGCTTTCTGACTACAGCAAAAATGGTCTGACATATTTCCTGCAATATATGCAGCATGTTACAAAATGCTAAAACATAATTCTGCATTGCATTCTTCAGCTTCATAATACGCACTTGCTTAGCTTATTGACAGGGTAAAATTCATAATCCAGGTGAGTATCAGATAATTGCAGATGAAGTCAATGAGTATATTGTTTTTAGCTGATGTGGAAGAAGAATTCTCTCTGAAGTGTCTTTCAGGCTGAGGATTTTCTTTAATGGTTATTCAAATAATTTTAGTCAGGTCTTTCTCAGTTCCCTAGCAGTAACTTTAAACATTGTCCTTCTTCCATTCAGAATGAATTCAGAAAGCACGGTTGTGTCTGAAATTATGTTAGTTCTTTTTTCCCCAAAAGTTCTCTTTGTGTTCTCTCACTAGCAAAATCTCTTCACAGAAGTGTGTTGTTTCAGGGACTGCTCTGTAGGATAGCAAAGGATGTTTTCTGTTTGAGAATACAAACTATATGCCAGTGTGTGTTACTCTGTCTTCTAGCTTTTTCAGTTGTCAGCAGGGCAAGATTATCTTCCACTATTTGAGCAAGCGTTTAGTCTGATACTGATTTAAAAATTTACTGAGTAGTTACAGAGGATAACCATTATTTAGAAAATTGAGCCTAATTAAGCTGTATTTCCTTCTCTGAAGAAGCGGAAAGGAGTTCAATCTACAGCTTCAGGATTTCCGGCTGTGAGATGGCTTCTTGGAATCCGGGGCCCGATTCCCAATTACGCTAGGGCCCTTTTGGGCCACGCTGAGGCGATTTGTGCCCAGTGTACTTACTATTTGTTTTACTTACAGGAAAATTTTTAGAAAATAAGATACCTTCTCTTTTCCCTTCGTAAAAATGTAGAGACCTTTTTCTGTTCATGTGGCATGCTTTCCAAGTTCTGCAAAAGTGGAAATGTTTACCTTATGTACCGTGTCCATCACAAATGCTGTAATTGGTTTAATTAAATTATAAATAATATATGGAGAACTCATTCAAGAAAGCAGAGCACTCCTAGTAATTTTCATTTACAATGAAGGGGCCTTAATTAACGTACCTGCCCTTTTAGGAAACAGCTTACATTTTTTAATAGACAATGTGGCTAAAAATTAGAGTTCTTTTTTAGCTTGCTGTCTACCTGGATGATAATGAATAATGGAAACTTAGATTACGTTTTCTTTAGAACAGGGGGAAGGGGCGAAATAAAGCAATAAAGCACTTAAGGTACTTTGCTCAAATGAGGTGCAGTCAATTATTATAAATTTAAACAAAAAAAATCCTGTTTGTATGAAGAGTGCATAACTTGAAGAGACTGGCCTCTGCTGATCTCGTCCATTATAGCCAAGAGAATTGCCCGATGTGCTGGGGTAGCATGTGTGAAAGGTCACCTTTAAGATATTAGTAATCTCTCTTCAGATTCCTCCAGAATGTGCCATGCCATTTGTTCAATGATACTGGCTTGCATCCAGCTTACTTAACCTAATGCGGGCCAGCCACGGTCTGCAGCATCAGCAATCATAATCATTACTTTCTAGTTTGTCTGCTGGAATCTAATTGTCTTTCGTATTGGTAGGAGCCCTGACTGCTGCTTGGTGCCAGCTACAGAGACAAAGTTTGCTCACCCTTCCTTATCGTTTTTGAGACATTTTATCTTTTTTTTTCTTTTGCGTCTTAAAGCTGGTCTAATTTTTTATTTATTCAGTCTGCTGTATTGCTGTATTTCAAACTTTGCATTTGTGCATGTCTTGATTTTATTTTTCAATTTTATTTTTATTTTTTATTCAAAGTGAAAGTAAAATACCCTCAGCTAAAATGCAAGGGGGGGGAGATGCAGTTTTGAAATGCGTGCTGGCGACTGGCACTTTGGGGAGGTGTATCACCAAGTAGCGTGACAAATGCTGCCTGCGCCTGTGCTCCCTGGAGTAGAGTCCCAGTAAGGTGGCAATCCAGTGGCTTGCGTAGGGCTAGTGAGGGCTTGCTTGCAGCCTGCCTCCAGCAGACCGAGGGTCTCGAGTGGGCACAGGTATTGGAAAAAGAATAACGTATGAGGTAGAGAAGATGTCTGTTGGATCAGAAATGGTTAGAATCTGTCTGGCCCCACTGACTACAGAGCTGCACCTCCACGGATATGGACCGTATCCCCATGCTGCAGTTTTGGCCTTCACTGGAGCTTGGTCGTGTTGCTTGCAGAGTAGCATTGCTTTTCCCTGGTTTGGGTCTGAAAGGCACCAGCTTTCCTGCTGGATAGGTGGGAGCTTGGGAGTCCGTGCCCTGCTCAGGTACAGATTTCCTCTTAGCTTTGGCAATTCATGGTTACAAAGAGATTAATCTCTCCTCTATGGAATAAAATATGCACCTGCCCTGTGTTACAGTAATGTTCTGAGGTCTAATAGCAAAAGGATGAGTCTTTCATTTACTAGATACCGAAGTGCATAGGATACATTTGCCCACATTGGTAACACCTGTGATCCTGAGTCCCCTCTGGGCTGCCTGCTGGAAATGGTGACTTGTTACTTCTTCCACAAAGACGTGTAGTGCCATATGGGTGGCTGGCAGGGCCCGTGTGTATCGGTTGCAGTTGCTGCGTCATGCTTCAGCAGCAAGATGTGTGAGGCTGCCAACCCTGACTTTTGATGCTTTTCTCTATGCCTTAATCCAAAGGGTAACGAGGCCACATGGAAACACTTATTTAGAATATAAAAATTCTGTACTGCTAATGTTGCTGTGTATTAGGGCTCCATTTGTCAAGGTCAAGGCAGAGGCAAGATTTTCAAAGAAACATTTTATGGTCTGAATTCTACTTCAGCTCAATAGAATTTGAACACATAATTACCCGTTGGTCTTTAAAACACTTTTCCCAGGTATTGCTACACCATCTACTCTGCATGTGACTTTTCTTGTGAAACCTGCCTGCCTGCCGACGTGGTGGAAAATGCCGAGTGATGCGTGTTAGCAGAAATATTTGGAATGTGGGAAGGCATGTGTTCCTCTGTGGTGTTCTTGCTGCATGAAGTTCATAAGCATAAAGTACTTATCTTTATGGTAATGTTATAATGGCTGAAAATGTATTAAATGAAGAGAATGTAAAAAGCCACAGACCTAATATTTTTAGAATGGCCAACTGTTATACAAGACAAAAGTCCAACATATTGTGTTCCTTGATTATGGGAGTAATAAAAGCAAAAGCTAATAAAAGGCTCGATAGAGGGGGATTGTAAAACCTGGATATGATCAGAGATTAGGCATTAGGAGAAAGCAGAAAGACCTGTGCCTTGAGCCAATTAACTTCTTGGAGAAAAGCTTACCAGTTAATGTGATAATTGATAGAAGAATAAACTTTTGTGAAGAGGAGCAGATAGAGGCAGGAGAAACAC